ATCCCATCCTTCTCCCAGAACTTTTCAGTGCAGGCCAAGGCAACCTTAGTGGCGCTGTCATAGTGAATGGAGCGCAGGGCATGGGTCTTATTGGAGGAAAGCGGTGGCAGAAATTTGATAAGTCTCGTGGCTTTTGCTGTGGCTGTGACAAGGACATAGTCAGCCGTCATGAAGGAAGGGCTACATGTGTCATGTGCACTACGGTACAATACTTGGACCTTGTTACCAATGTATTTTATCTGCTCTACTGTGCAGTTCAGCTGGACAACTCCAGGCATAGACCGGTAGAAGGCCAGGGGCAATTGGTCGAATCCCCCTGTGATCTCTTCAAAACTGAAAGAAACAAGAAGTGATGGGTGAAAGAATTACATTAGTAGCAGTACTATGATTGCTTTTAGGGACAACAACAAAGTGGGGCCCCTTTGAGGTAAGGTCTGTGTCTGAGACAGATCCTGCCTCAAAGAGTTTATGCTCCAGCTAGACAAGACAAATAATAAAAAAAAAAGTTTATTATTGTCATTTTACAGAAGGGGGAACTGAGGCTTAATGACACACAGACCTGGGGCCCGGAGCGGAATTTCAGCCAATGTTGGGGAATTCAGATTGAGCTGCACAGGGTGAGTCAAAATTATGGCCCAGATTAAGGAATCAAGGACTATATTGCTGACAATATGACCCATTTGATGACAGAGAGTGCTTCTCTCCACACATTCTAACTGCCACAAGGGGTGTTTCCCATTGGTAATCTGGAGTGTCTGCCTCTATCAACTACAAGAAGAAGGATATTATTTATTTAGTTATTTACTCACATTGCAGTCACACAAAGGGTACATCTACACTGCCGGTGGCAGCAAGACTCCCAGCCCAGGTCGAGAGACTCAGGTTAGTGGGGCTCTCAGTAGCATTGTAGAAATAGCTGTGTAGACAGTGCTTTCAAGTTGCTGCTTGGGCTGGAACTCAGGCTCTCAAGCCCACCGTCTCCCGAGGCTACAGAGCCCAAGCTCCAGCCCAAGCTGCAACTTCAGAGTGCTGTCTACACAGCTATTTGTACAGTGCTAGTAAAATCCCCACTAGCCTAAGTCACTCAACCTGTCCTAGGAGACTCATTGCCATGGGCAGCCCACTGGCAATGTAGACACCCCAAATACCTTGCAATTTAAGTACATTCGTTTCTCACCCGTCTTCATGAAAGAAGATATTAAACTCCATGAGAGAGTGAAGAAATGACGTGTGGAATCCAGCACCCCCATTCATCAAGTCTCCAATCATCTGTACAGCCGCATGGCTTAAATTCCCTTCTTTAATCAAGTTCTCCTGGGAGGGGAGGAAAGGGAGGAAAGTTGTTCTCTCTTTAGGCACAAGAGGCACATTTATGGAGGTATCATTGGGGAAAGATTTGACTTTCATGAGGAAGGAGAAGATAAAAGGTTATTTTCAAGTTTTATATGGTGATGATATTGTTGCCCCTTTTTGTCTGAGCCATTGCCAATATCCAAGGCCTTGCCTGGTTCTTTCTGTTTGAAGGAGAGATTGAGGATGTGAGTCAGGTCTTTCTTTGGTGCAATCCTGCCAATTTAAAAAGAATGGATACAGAGTCCTGTTTTCCTGAACACAGTAGAAACAGTCAACAGGAGGCAATGTCCCTGCTCGGCAATCCAAGTCTGCCTTTCCAGCAAATACTGTGACCAAAAGAAGCTCTATCCTTTTTTTCCCTCAAAGGGCCATGTTAACCACTGCTACTCTCTCTTTCTCCTTGATTTTTCCCCCTCTCACAGACAAGCACAGCTGCAAACAATCAACCGCCTAATCTCTGCAATCAATCCTAGGGAAACCCTCAACCCCCACCGCTTAGCTTATGATTGGTCTACCCATGCAGCCTGATAGTGCCTTGGGCAGTGGCTTCCACTGCCTCCAGCTATCTAACTCCAGAAAGGAGCTTAATTGCTTCTTCCATTTAACCGGAATGAAATGTTTTTAGCATGCCCATCGACTTTAACCAGGTCTGTGACTAACCTATAGACTAAAGATATGTTTGATCGCCACAATTAACACCTTCCAGCATAACAATATTAAAATAATAATTGAAGGAAATATGAAATTTCTGGCACTAAGTCCTTTATTTTCCATAATCTTGGCCACAAACAAAACCCTGCTCACTGAGGCTGCCAAAAGGGGATGCCAATCCCAAAAGACTGTGCAGAGCTTCATAATATGATGTTTTCCCTCATTCTTTTATTGGTGCTTTGAATAAAGGACAACCTTGATATGAAAACTGGCATCATTAGGTTTCATCAGGATAAACAGGTGCATTT